TCAGCATTTCCAATCAGCCTGACTGCATGTCTTTGGACTGTGGGAGGAAACCGGAGTACCCGGCGAAAACCCACACAGACACGGGGAGTTGTCCAAAATAACATTTTTATAAAATCTGCACATTTTCATCTTCATTTCTCACTCTTATTTACTATTTATGTGCTACACTGAGATAACTAAGGTGGTTAGCCATTGATAAAATGAAAACTTGCAAAAGCTTTTATCTTAAACGTGACATAATCATGACAGTCAATATGCTACAAACTAATGCTAGCTAAATTGTGAAGTTCAGTATTACTCACTGCCTACCTGCTTGGATATGTCCTCATCCTCGCTAAGTAGCTTTTTCACTTTATCTTCTTGGTGCAATCTTGGTTTTTCGCAGTTCTTGCCACTGCTGTCCATCTTATGTGTCCATCATATGATTCTCGTATGAAAACTGCTAATGCGACAAAAAGTAATGCACTCTGTGGAGCACCGCCTGCTGTGTTGGCTAGGTGTCTGAATGTAAATGCTATGTCATTTAAAGTGGAACAGGAAATGATAAAAGAAGCTAACTTCAGCTTCATCTAATCTCTATTCTGCTCTTCTGTAGTACGTTCTCAAAAATTTGAAATATTGGACAAAAGTAATTATCTGTCTGAAGCTGATATTTTCTTTTTTAAGCAAAAGTCAGCCAATAGTGGTCTGAATCCAATATCATGCCTACTTGTAATTCCGTTTTTACACCATTTGAAATGGTGTAAAAGCTGCCTGCCTGCTAAATATTTCATGACTAAGAATATAAAAATAGTCAAAAATTATAAATTTTTCAATCATTCATCCTTTATATGACTTTATATGGCCATATACATTCTATGTCTATGCAGTGACATATAGTCTTCCATTGCTTTCATTACCCATGTCTTTACAGCAGCTCACTGGGGCTTAATTGTTTTTATTTGCAACCCGCAGGGGCTGTTCCTTAATTAATTAAACTCTGATCTGCAACATGCTTTACTCCCTACGAAGGAAAGCGATATGAAAGCTAGCCATGTGCTTCGGATACCCATTTAGCGTCAGGTCCGTGTTTACAGGACACAGTCGGAGGCCTCCTCGCTCCCCTCAAGGCCTGGTGGTGCAGGAGAGGGGGGCCAGAGGTAGCGTAGGCCAGGGCAGCTGCGAGATCGACCCTGCCAAGGACGCTGCGCTTCCCAGGCCTGCTCGGTGCCATTAAATGGGTCATTGAACAGCTAAATGGAGTCATTATAACGAGTAATTAAAAGAATAGCGCCCAAGAACTCCGAAAGCGCTCCTCTGGCCGCCTCTGGGTTCCGCCGCCTTGTGGGCCTCGTAGGCTCTCTCTCGCTGCATGACAGCTGCCGTAGGCACTTTCACTATAACTTCTTTCACTGGCATGCAAATCGCATCTTTACCAGCTAATTAACCCACATTATTGAGGTTTTTCGTGTTAGCTGAAATTCTGACTGAGCTTCAGATTTGCCTTGGGGAAGCAAATTTGTTTTGCAAGTTGGAATTCTGAAGGCACTTGTTGGTTTTTCCTATCAAATGTGGATCTCATAAGAACTGGAAGTGGAAGAAACTGCATAACAGCTTCCAGAAAAGTGAGACTCAGACTGGATGAGATGCACGATCAACAATGGCATCAATTTTGGCGAGTAATCTCCAGTCTCATGTTGCCCTTGGTTGCCATGCAGGCACTGCTAGTTTGAAGTAGATCATTTTAATAGTTTGGCAAAGTGAACTGAGCATATCTGTTTACAAAACATATGAAATGTTTTCCTTATAAAGTCACATCTCCAGTGGAGCGACACAAGCATTTTTGACACACGTTGGTGATCTAATAGTCTTTTAGGACCAGTTCCTCTTATACAAATCCCTGCCTTATCTCCTAAAACTGATCTAGGTACAGCTTATAAGAGCAACTTCCACATAGAATCAACAAGATAGCCATCATTGTGAAACGTATTAAGATGATATATGATAAGACCGTGACAGCACTGAGATCTTCTGATCTGCATAGTGACGGCTTCATATATCCACAAGGGCATATTTATGTGTCTTCTTGTACTCTGTTTTGAAATGGATGCTCCATACCCTGGGATGCCTTTATGGATCACTTCACATTCACTCCAAACGTGATTTAACATACTTGCTGCATGCAAAACAAGGTGACATTTACCATAATAACAAATACGTCTTTATAACCTGAGTGAGAATGTAGGAGTGTGCTCACTTTAGGGCCGTTTTAGTGGCTCTATAGCTATTTAATGTTTTCATAGCAGATCGTTTAAATGTATGGCAGATGTTTTGAGAAGGGTGACTCCATCTTTCATTTGTTTTCATCCAACATGCCATACATTGTTTAGCCATCAGTCAATCAGGAGTTACATCTCCAATATTTTCAGCATATGCATATTTTATTGAGATAAAACTAAAGTGTCACTGGTCAGTTCACATTACATTCAGTCTGTAGAACCTTTCAGAATCACATTTATCACCATCTACATTAGCTTGTACTTGGAATTGGTCTTGGGGTTTGGTCACAACATGCTACACTACCTTCAACACAATTTACATAACGTCATATTCAAAAGTGTGAACATCTCCAGTCAAATGACATGTGGAAAGAAGTCAGGTTTTTCTGTACATTTTAGTGGACAGTATCTCTTTATTTACTACATCACATTGAAAAAACTAAAACATAAAATTCAATAAATTGTCACAATCTTTGCAAGACCACATTTTATGTTTTTTTTTATTCCCCAATATGTTAAGCTCAGCACATAAACAGTAAATGTGCAGTAAAATTTGCAGAAGTGTGTTCTCTGTAGAGGATGTGTAACTTATTTTCATTTAGAAAATAGACAAAACATACAGTTTGACCAGGAGCCCAAATGTTTGCATGCGTGCATGTATATAAATAAGAATAAGAATAAAAGTAACAACCATGCAGTACTTATTGTACAAGGTCAGTATTCAGTTAATATATAGGATATATCTTGGCTGGGATGTACAGTTCAAAGAGAAAACTTTAGTTAGTATAGAACCTTTACATTATGAAGAGGTTCTTTAAAAAGGTTCTTCACACTTGTACATCTCCAAAGAGCCCTACATGACACATTTATTTGCAAAGGGCCTATATCATGGAAACTCAAATTTATAGTATGCAAACATTGCTTCAAAACATACGTTCAGTCCATGCTATCCATATATGGAAGCTGAGCTGCAAAAACTGCCCATTTTGAACTGTTTTTGTGGTGTTATATAAACCAAAGTGATTGACATATCCACTCATTCAGCTTTCAATAATTTGGACATGCCCATTCACACTGAAGTTATGAGGAGTGTTTCAGCCTGGACTGCTTTTTAAATGATGCACAATACAGGGCAATCAGAACAGAGTTCATTTACATATATCAGTCCTAAGGGCACAGTACCAAAAACAGTTTCATTCCAAGGGATGAAGAGAGGATTGTGGTGCATAAAAACACACAGAACCTGTAAGTGGACCTGCAAGAAAAATGTAGGATAGGTGCCCTTTAAGAGTGTTGTGCAAACATGGCATTACAGTGCAAGACATTCTACTGGCAAGTCAACATTTGTAGTTTGCCTGATTACTGTCTAGCTTATTTGGTTAATATCTTCTCGCTTTAGTACCTTCTACGCATAAGTGATTTTGTCAGCAGTATAAATACTTGTGCACACAACAGCTACAGGATGGCACGATGAGAAGAAAGCCAAATGTCTCCTACAGTCATGTAGAAATATTATTCTGACGTCAAAGCATCAGACTTTATTGCCTTGCCACTCCGGCGCAATCAGAAGAGAAAATATTTTAGGCGAGGATAGATAATATGCACAGTATGAGATTCTAGCAGTCATTTAAATTGGGCGGCGCAGAAAGTTATGTAGGGCTTAATTAGTTGGCCTGGCTTGCTGATCACAGGCAGAGCCTACTCCTGCTAATTGAAGTACGGGCTGAATTTGCATTGGATCAATGGCCGGGGGAAAAGAAAGGCTCATGCGTCAGAGTGGCCGGGCCGTGACAGCAGAAGCTTGCAGGGCCACCCGTCTCCGAACGGGCCGCATCGATCCGCTGTCACGCACCGAGCTAAAGATACAGGATCAGCATGCAGACAGGCATAATTACCCTAAGGTGTGTGGGATGAAAGGAAGAAAGAGAGAGGTTTGCTTGGAGTGTTTTCAACCTTTTATGCGTGTACAGTAGAGCCCACTTAGAAGCCTTGGCTCTTCATTAGGGCCTGTGTGCTGGAGCCGTATGTGTGTGGTGGGCTGAAGACAGAGAGGAAAGAGTTGCCTCTTGTAAAACTGCTACAGGTTTGAAGTGTTTGGCTCAAGGACACAATGGCAGTGGACAGATGATTAGAGAGACACGGCACTCATTCTCTCAATAATTAATGTTTTTTTTGGTGATTATACTTGCGTATTTTTGGAAAAAAGCAGTTTCTTTCATTATCAGTGCTGGAGAATTAGTACAGAGTTTGTGCAAAACACTTCCAAACAATGAACGGAGTGTTAATAATTAGCTTGTTAGTGTTGACTTATTTCCACAACCTATTATTACATCTTTTGAGCAATGAATATTCATTTTTAATGACATTAAAAACTGCGAGATATAAATAGAGTAGCTATTCGTGGATGATTCATCAATAATAGTCTGTGTATTCAAAGCAGATCTGCTACACAGTATCGACAGTTATGTATGCCTACCATGCTAACACAGGAAATACACCATAAAGTCATGAAGAATTCAACAGCTTCACTATAAAAGCAGTTTTTCCTCATCAGTTAATTAATGCTTTCCTTTTGTTGTCTTTTGCACTACTCTTAGAATTAAAACAAACCAAAAAAACACCATCTGGGTCAAAGCACACTGCACTGATGAATAGCCATAATGAATGGCCATTTGTCTTCTCTATTCAAAGCAGCAAAGGAGATGAACAAATCTAACCTACTGGGTCTTTGTGTTTCTCCAGAGAGGAAGAGGGGCCAGCTGCTGATGAAGGAGCTCAGAGATGCGTGTTCACACTGGAGAGTTTAACCTGAGCAGCCGGGGTAAGTCCTGCTTGGCGCCGCTCCATGACCCTAGCTGTGGCACACTGAGACACTGCCCCAAAAACTCTCTCGGTCACAACCCTACAGTGGCGTGCTCATGGAACCGGCCTACACTCCTAAAAATAAAAGTTTCTTAAATGGTTCTTGGCTTCTAGGAAAAAATGGTTCTAGGAAAAACTCAAATTATGTGGAGGATCTTTAAACTCTAAAAAGGTTTGTCACACACAGGCATCTCATTTACAAAAAATGATGGCAACCAAAAGTGAATCTTATATGGCATTGCTCCAAAGAAGCCTTTTTAGCACCTTTATATTATGTGTAGACAACTCAGCACACGAAATTGGCCTTGACTCTTAAAACAAAGACTAGGTAAGCCTAGTTTTGCTGTGCAGCCATTGGCTGCATTGTATTTGTTATGCAAGTATCTTACAGAATATACAAATGTGATAGCCACATTTTACTAGCAACTTTTTGTGAATAAATACAGAAATTTTCTTTTATAGCTGGCCCACTACTACTACTACCAATACTATTACTATTACTAGTACAACTACTACTAACAACAATAATAAAAATTATTATTAGTTACTTTACTTTTAAACAGTAAACTATAGGGGACTTTTATTGTGATAGCAGTGGCATTCCTGCCTGAAAGAGGACGTTATCAACTATGCTGTCAATATATCTGCCTTTTTGGTGGATTCATTAGATAATTCAGTTCGTTTCATGATTTTGACCATGAATTCATGAAGACTGTTTTAGGTCGCCCTGTATCGAGTTCTAAATTTACACAATACCAGATTTTAGGACTTGTATTAGCATATTGACAGACTCTACCAGACTCCAAGATTTCTGTTTGCACACACACTTACATATATGTCTGCATTTACTCAGAATCAAGTGAAATGTCAAGGAATTATTACATTTCCAGTTAACATTCAGGTGCAAGACCAGCATTGAACACCCTTGACTTAGTGGTTGTACTAGTGCTTGATGATTTTATCCTCAGCTGAAAGAGTGATAAATACTAAATAGCACTGCTTATACTGCACGGTGAGAACTTCTAACTGACAGACACACCCAACCCATTATGAGTTTCTGTTAACATGTTATCCCCTTTCATTATTTATGTTAGCTATACATTGGAGGATAATAACTTTGCCTCATGTAATTAGGTGTATAATGCTACCTGTTTGTCTCAGGCAAAGCTTCCGCATGCATCTTTCAACAATAGATGACAGAGACACGTTTGATGAGTTAGTCAGTCACTCAGTGACATAATAAGAGACAAAGTTGGTTCTTGTTGTTTAGGGAATCTAAAGTGGTTCATCTATAGCATCAGGAAGGAACCCATTTTGGCACCTTTATTTTTAAGAGTGTAGCATGAAGAAAGATCCACACAGAGCAATGTTCTCGCTAAACTCATACAAACGAGTTTCAGTTAAGAAGCACTGTCGTCCCTGATCAGTTTCTGAGAAATATATAGCCTAAGAGGAGCACGTAGGCGTGTAGGCAGCCAGTCAGGTCTGATTTCCTTTTTCACATATCCAGTACCTATCTGATCTGTTCTTTTGTGTCTTAGCACATGAAATTTCACCAACCCTGATTTGCAGCACATCTTGTGCTTTTCAGGACAGGGAGAATCATGTAATCACAAGCGAGTATCTTGTGTAAGCACACAAATTTTGATCAGATTTGAAAAAAACAGACATCAAAAAACCTTGAAGCTGAGCATCACAGCAGTACTGCATAGATCTGTCCTTTTTGCCGTTGATCTGTAAAGGGAAAACGTAGCCCTCATCTTGCCGCTTACCTATTTATTTATGTATTTATTTATTTATTTTTGTATGTATATATGCCACGAGTGGACATTTCACGTGACACGCCTTAGATATGTAGGGATTTAACTACATCAATCTGTTTTATACTGGCCAAAAGCAGGCCCTTCAGAGCACTTGGATGTTCCAGTAATTGACTTGGAGTCTGGATGAGCTATTGGAGATGCTTATGACCCACATAGAGGACAGGATGGACGCTCTTAGATCTACTTTCTTTCATGTTATAATCACCTCCATACGTCACACTTTAATTAGTGCTTCAAACTTTCGCCAAAACCTGACATTTTTGGTCCCTTGATGTCCAGAAATGGACAATGTCTATGTTCCATGGAGGCCATTATGACTGCTTAATTTCTGTAAGAGCCCAACTGGTGCTTTGATGTGTGCTGATAAATCATGTGTAAGTGGCATATAGGAGAGCGCTTTAATATTTGATGATGCTGAATAGCCTGGGCGGTTCGATTTGCTTAGTTATTATAGATATCCTGCCAGGCACTGTGCGCTGGCAGTCTTTTGACTTTGAGCCCTCTTGTGTGTCGACTGCTGCTTGCCCACATCTGTCTTTAAGTCTCAGTGCCTTCATTCTATCTCCAACTGGCTGATGCAACTTTGCCTGTCTGTGGGGCAACTGCGCAGAGATTAGATGCAGCTTCAGTTTACTGCTTCTCACAAAGAGGAACTTAAAGGGGGTCAACTCTCAAAAGATGTAATTACTTTCAGCGATGAAGGCGCACTAATGAACCATGATAAAGGTCAAGATTTATTTAGTAACCGACCCAATGCTGTAAGTAGCAGCACTGTTTATTTCTTTTTTAGTTTAGCATTTTTGTGCTTCTGAAAAGAAAAATCTGAAAATTTGTTCAGTGCTTTATTTACTCTATTACTAAGTCAAAAAAGGTACAGCAAAAGATTTGTAAACTTGGCCCCACACTGGTTCAACTAAAGAACCTTGTTGCTTTGCAAATTTGAGTTAAAACAAATGAACAGCAACCACAATCTAGATTGTGATGGGATCGAAACAACATGGTAAAGTTATCTTGACAAAAGAGAAAAGGTTTTGATAACAAAAAGTACTTTATTTACAGTGTACCCAAACTGTATTACTGTGATACTGTGATATAACTGTGATAGCTATTTTCATCAAATACAATAAACCAACCATAAATGTGAGGGCTGGTAAATAATGTGCAATCGTTAAACACCTAATTAATTGCTTTTATCATAAACATACCTTAACCTCTTCATAACATGAAGGTTATGGTCCAGCATGCTCTTATATCAGTATATATTCTTAAAAAGATGGTGGTTCATGGGTTCTTTAGTAAAGAAAATGGCTCTATATAGAATCACGAACGCTCAAAGAACCTTTTGTATGATTAAAGGGTTAGTTGCACTGTGAAAGGGTTCTTCAGATTGATGGAGTATATACAGATTGATGGTGTATATATAGAACATCTATATAGAACCTTTCTGAAAAGGGTTCAAAAAAGGTTTTTCTATTGTAACAATGCTAAGCTTGTAACAATAGAAGAACCCTTTTCAAAAAGGTTCTATATAGAACCATCTACAGCACATTCTCCATCAGTCTAAAGAACCATTTCACCATGCAAAGAACCTTTTAATCATGCAAAAGGTCCTTTGAGTGTTCGTGGTTCTATATAGAACCATTTTCTTTACTAAGGAACCTTTGAAGAACCATCAAATTTTAAGAGTGTAATATACAAAAAAAAATCCAAAATTTTCATATTAGATAAATGTAAAATTGACAAAGAAGCTGATGATGCTACGTTTTCAACACTACACTCTTAAAATATATGCCACAAAGGGTTTGCCATAAGAGAACCACTTTTTTTAATTTTACTAAAGAACACACGCTTGAAAAAGAGATCTGAGTGTGAAGAACCTTTTAAAGGTTTAAAGAACTGTTACATAATATAACGTTTCCATACCAATTAAAAGGAATGGTTTAGTGAAATGTCTAATTTACACAATTTTTCACTTAACACAGATGTAGTTAATAAGGACGTTTACATGCTTAGTGTCCAAATTTTGCGTCTTTAGCTTAGAGCTACAAGGAGCTACACGGCTACCATTGTTGACAAACACTAGAAATCAACACATGCATGCTGAAAACGTCTCTCAACCCGCTCAAACTGCATCTAGGTTTCTTTAAGGTCATACAGACTTGGTTTAAGCCACAGTGAACTGTAAAAACCAACAAAACTGCACCATGTAGCTGAGCGCATGGCATGTACACACATCATGTACACACATGGACGCTAGATAATGAACTATTAATCACAATTTGATGATCGTTCCTATTTACAAACATGTTCAGTTTAAAAATTCAGTATTAAAAATCATTTGTAAACAGGTAGAACAGAAATCTCGAACATAATCTAGCATCCAAATACCTCTGTGATGGGCGTAATGTGCATGCAGGCAAATAGGAGTCTGAATTTGGCTTAACACCTGTTGTCTAAAGTGGCTGCGTGCTGTTCAGCTACACGGAAGTCATACTGTGCCTTAAACCACATAGACTACATGTCTGCATGATCTTAATGAACATGATGCAGTTTGAGCAAAGTTGAGAGAAGTTTTGGGGATGTATTTATGGAAAAGATTCGGGTGATTATTGACTGCTAGTGTTTGTTAGCTAGATTAGCTGTGTAGCTCCAGCACTAAAATAAAGAAGCAAAATTTTTAGACATTAAACATACAGCTGGGGCACATGGAAAATTGCTTAAATTAGATTATTTTTCCCCAGACCTTTCCTATAAGGATTCTTCCTAGAACCTTTATATGATGTGGTTCTTCACACTGACATATCTCATTTACCTATTTCTCTAAAAAAACATCCACTGGAAGGTTCTTTAGGGAGCCAAAATTGGTTCTTCTATGGCATTGCACAAATATCCATTTTCTCAGGCACTCAATTTAAAGTGCTTCTGTATAACGAAGAAAAAGAATACATTCTTTATAAAATCAGAACCATGTTTAAAATGTAAGACTGGAGTATGACTTTTGACATCCATTTGTAAAATGCGAGATAAGAAAGTGGTTGAGCTAACAGTCCAATCTATCTAAAATTCATCGGATAGATACTGATTGCAATAGTAATGAAGAAAATAATGGACTGTTTCTGCCAGTATGTCTATAAAC